TCAATAAATAAAACAAAGCACTTTCTATTTTCTTGTTTTGCATAATTCGATCCTAATGTTCGATGATTAGTTACTTTTTGCCCCACTATTATTCTTCTTCAGATAAATATACCCAAACACTTCTTCATATATACCCATTATGGTGGATACTTGATGCTTACAGGAGAAAAACAAAATAGCATATTGGCATATTTAGATTCGACTTTTAAAATTCTCTTTTAGTAGACTTGGCAAAAATAAATAATGGCTGCAAATATTTCATCCTTTTTTGAGTTGTGTAGTTCATAAATAACAATATTAAGGTAGAGAGAAAAATCATATTCAAAGTGTAAACCTTATATTTTGTTTCATTCTTTTGAGGTAATGCATAATGCATATATATACTAAAGATGGTTATGAATTATAATACTTAAATCAGGAAATTAAATTATGTGAGAAGAAACTACTATAGAGCATAAACGAATTCATGCACGTGGACCCCGTTATTTCAGATTTATTAGTAGACGTAGAGCCTAGATGTGCACATGATCGACACATTTTAATGTCATTTTTTAGCGTACGAAAAAAGAGAACTAAAAACAATTGATAATTCAGGGAAGTGGCAATAATATAAAAGGTGTTAGTTCATGTGTGAGTTTGTGACTAAGACAGACAGTGCTTGACTTGTGGTTGGAGTCACTTCACTTTGTCGATTTTCCAAGATCATGCTCACTCAGCCGTGGCTAACAATACATCTCCAATAAAACCACTCCCTAAGTTTTCTATTCGAAAACACAAAATGGTTCCACTCATTTGGAAACAAATTTGCCAATTTTTGTTTGGGAGAACTTAGACGTACGTAATTTAGTGACGTTTTGGTGGTTTCTCCAAAGGAGATTAAACTTTGGACTTCGAGTTCGAGTCTTGTTCAGTAAGAGAATTTATAAATTAAGTGAACGTGGTTCAATGGTTTGAAATATTCATTTTGATTATCTTTGTTTGGTAGAGTTCGAATTTTGATTCATTTTAAACTGCGATATCAGACCATTTTTATCCATGAAACATGACAAGTTTCATAAGTCCAAATCCAATTAAAAAATATTAAAAACGCCCGTTTGAAACGTCTCAGCCCACTGAAATTTTTGGGTCGTCTCAAGCCGCCCGTGTCTGCTTTCCATTGGACCGACGAAGATATTTCGTCGCAACGCAAAAGAAAAAAAAAACATTTCTTCGTCGTTCATTATTTTCTCCGCTTCGAGAGAAAACGAAGGCGATTTCGGCGATTTCAGAGATTTTGTCGTCGGAAAAATCTCTCCGTCGA